AATAACGACCCTATATATGTTGCTGAGAATAAAAAGGATCTAGCTTTGTTTCTCACAGCCGAAGGAGTTTTGGTTCCCGGAGGAGATGCTGGGACATTTAAGATTTCTTCACCTTTGGTGCACTGGCTGGTTCTTCAGCGAATAATTCCCCACATGTTTCCGACTTCACCTAAAATAGAGGCCCCCTATCATCCATCCACGGGTAATTTAGACATTCTTGAGGCTTTGAAACAAATTGTCTGTATATTTGATCAAGAAACAATAAAGTCCTGCAATTCTTTTAAGTTAGCACGTGTATTGGTTAATAAAGCAAATAATCGAGAAGTCCCTAGAGAATCGGTGTATGATGCAGAGCTTTATCGGATCATGTCGAATTGGCTTGGTAGATTTACAGTGACGGGACAATGGCATCTAAAATATCGTGCTAGTGGACATATTAATAATAAATACGTAGACATTGTCATCTCACGACTTGATCATCCCTCGAACTTTTAGCTACAGCAACAAAAAAAGAGCTTAAAGAACACTATGAACGAGCACTCTTATACGATAAGAAACTACCTGCAGATGAAACATGGGTTATTCATTTTACCTGTGAAGAAAATGCCATTTCGGAACCTTGCTGGCCCACCAAATCTCAACTGCAAAGGGGTCTTAGAGTAGTATACCTTTGGCACGACCTCGATTTTACAAAAATCCGTATTACTGCATGTTGGTGGGATGTGGATAATAATAAGAGGCATGTTACTGACGTTGAGGAATTTATGGTACATTCTATTACAAAATTTTTTTTTTGATTGCTTGCTTTGCATTTATTCTTTCTAACTACCTTTACTTGATTACAGGTTTCATAAGTTAGAATATAACAATTAGGATTAGAATGAAAATATGTTAGTTGTATTTGTTTTTCGTCCTATATGGTAAAGTCAAATAAATGTAAAGAATGTAATACGTATTTGCAATTATAAAATGATAATAAAACTGGCTCTGGTGGCCGATTTGCATATATAATCGCGTTTACTTTTGCATGTATATTTCGTGAATTTATTTTATTGTATTGTTATCGATGTATATTAACTCGTATATGATCGAGAATTTTTGATGCCCAGAGCGTAAAATTTTTTCACGCAGACATTAGTTCGCGGACAATAGTATAGACGTCATGTATCACGGGCTAGGTCCCGAACATTTGTATTTATTTTTCGCATGTATTAATAAAAAATTTTTTTCTTGGCAAAAATGATCTGCGTTACGAAAAGTAACGCGCACGTGATTAAATCTTCTGAAGTAAGCATTACAACTGCACCTAATTCTTTAGGTGATTCCAAAGTAATCGGTCCAGATAATTCGCCCAAAGCTAATGACTATGATGATCCCATGCCTTCGTCAATGGAGAAAGGAACTAATGAAGTTCAGACAGACTATGATAGTGATTGTAGCCACGACAATGATTCTGAAGAAGACGTATCATTTTCTGATAATGATAAGATAAATGATATAGACACGATGGTTTCTGATGACAAAGAAGATGCAGGTTATTACTATGATTTAAGAACTGGTAATGTAGCTTATAAAAAATCGATTAGCGTATATTAGATTTTAGCGGTGCTAATAAAAATCGAAATAATAATATAGCTGATGACCAATACTTGTTCACACTATCGCGTAAAAATAAAAAAATTGGGAGCCCAGTGGACCCCCCTCCCTTTATTATATAACAAATTATATTGCCACAACGACAACATAATATACAAATAAAAATAATTTTTAAAAAATACAAATAAAAAAAATATATTAAAAAATTTTTTAACCGGCATCTTCATTCTGAACATCGTCTTCGTATTTCAATCGAAATATAAATCCTCCTATTGGCCAAGTATTGCACCCCTTATTTGTAATAATATCATCGAGTCCGAACCTTCCTTCATCAAATTTGAAATATAGCCCACTTATTTTTGGAACTGTACTATAATTTCGTAAAATGGTACAAATAAAGGTATAGATGTAAGAAAAACAGAATTATATAATACAAGCTTTATAAAAATGATGCATAACTTACAAGAAAAGCTTTTTTTTGGTGAGCTCTTGCGGTTTTTCAGGACCATCCCCCCACAGACTGATATTTTTTTTACCTACCCAAGAACTTGGACTTTCTACAAAAATTAACGATAAATTTTATTTAATCGTATTTTATTAACAAAGGTAGTAAGAAAATTAATTTATTCACCAACTTCAACTGAGATTTTTCCTAACAGTGCTTTAGGCATTTGTGCGACTCCTAAATATAAAAATTATAATTAGTTTTACTTTCTAGAATCTGACCAACATAGTAGCTAATACCTTTTAAAAAACGGGCGAATAAATCAAGTAAAAAATATACGAGCAAAAAATAACGTTATTGCTAACTTATCTTATGGGCGGGGACTTACTTATTTTTATACCGTCCATTCGCTAGATCTAAAAAACTTTGCTAGAAAAAAAAAGTTACATGATTGGTAATTGCGTTACCCAAGTCTAACGCCAGTTTTTTTTTCTCCATAAAGCAACTCCACTCGGTCATAACTTCCAAACACTGAATCTATTCTGTTATTTTTTCTGGTGAAATTAACCCCCTTATAATCGACGATCGTTTAAAGTGGGTTTAGATCTGACGATCTCGGAGATGGCGGAGATTCGAAGTCCCTGTAACATATGAATTTTGATAAAATTATTGATTAAGAACGTTATACTCATTGCCCCCTTATAGCCTTTTTAAGTCCCATTCTTATCGCGGGATCTTATGTACTAAGAAAAGCACGGTCTAGTTAATCATAATATTCGTTAATAAAAAAATCGACCGTGAGAATTAATTATGCGGGAGAGTGACACCGCATAAAGTTTAATGCAGGCCATCTTTTTTTCTCATTACATTCGAAAAAAAAGATAATTCGGAGAAATTAATTTCTGGAAAAATTTTTCTAGAAAATGATTTCTGAAAAAAAATGTTTTTTGAGCTTGCGAAAAAAACGAAGCCGGTCAAGTTTTTATCGCACATTCGAACTGATAAACCTGAATATCAAGTGATCGCTATCGTTATAAAAATATTACAGTAAACTCAGTTTATACTCCGACAGCCTCTGGAGGCCGTCGGGGACACAAAATTTATGCGATAAGAATTTATGCGGACCCGTGGGACCGTTAAGTCATATGATAGCATGACAGATCTAACACCCGCGAAATCAAATTACCGTAATAAAAAATAATTTATTTTCGTAAGTTGTTTCAACCTCGACTAAAAACATGTATACGGACCTGTGGGGCCGTTAAGTCATGCGATAATACTTTATTTTTTCCGGAACAAATGTATGAATTCTCGTATACCCGATTCATTTCAGCATGGATCGGTGCCGAGATAAGTCTCACGATTTGACGGCCATGAGCTTCTATCAACGATAAAAATTAGATTACCGTTATGTAAACTAACGCACATTTATGTTTACAGGTATTTATGTATTCACGGTAAAAAATAGGATACTAGATGTTTGATTAACATGATTTGTTATTATTATAATGCATAAATAACGAAGTGCATAATGGTTATTCTATATTTGTAAATCGGGCTTAAATAAGCATGATTATTTCAGTATCCGTATACCTTTAAGTTATTAATCCCAATATAGAAAACGTGCGATTGTTGGTTGACTTACCCGTGTTCGATAATTGTGGTGCCGAATTTAGTTAACGATTAATTATTTGTTTACATAGCGATAGTAGAGACCCCAGATTATGCGATTTGAAATGCATCGTAGTGCGATGTGATAAATTCAAATTGTGCAATATTTATGTAAGGAACCTTATACATATTTATATTGTTCTAATTTTGATTTATCACTACATAATGTGATAATTATGAATTTGTGTTACAAAGTTTACGAAGAAAAAAATTTTAAAGAAGAAAAAATTTAAAGAAAAAAAAATTTTAACACCCGAAAAAAAAAAATTACTAAAAAAACAAAAAATGTTTACAAATTATTTAAATTGCCCTATTAAAATAAAGCAAGTTTAGCATCGACAAAGAATCTTGTGAAAGATTATGTCGCTTATCACTTAAAATGTTTTTATAATTGCTAAAACTCCGTTCTACGTCAACACCAAATACAGGTAACCAGATATAAAATAATGCGATTTTTGAAAGAGAAGGTAAATCGTTAGATTTTTGTCGCGATGTTGAATACCGAATAAATTTAGGGTCAAAGCATTGTATAGCATGAAAAAGTAATAATGCGGAATGGTTATCGACATGCTTTATAAGCTTGTCAAATGATAATTGAAAAGCTTGCGAAAAAATTGAGTTAAAGAACATTAAATTTAGATTCTTTTCTTGAATCTTGTTGTATATAAACGAATTAAATGGTGGATTTTCAATACCCGCTTGTAGCATAGCACGGGTTTGACTAATTCGCGAAAAAACATAAGGGGCAACGGGTTTATTGCGTATTTTAAAGAATTTCAGATCCTGAATTAAGCTAATTAATATACAGTATATAGCTTATTAGTAATATATATGTAGCGATAATATTATTGCTGTATATATAATATTCTTATCGTTGAGCATTTAAGGAAATAAATTCGATAATTAATTCGATTATTGAAATATTTTCATGATTTGAAAAAAGTTTGGCTAATTCTTTAACCGCTTTTTGAGAATCGTTGAGCGTATTTTCCATATTAAAAAATTGAACAAGGTGCAAGAAGTACGGTTTAATCCAGATAACAAAATTAAACCAGCTATTCCAGCGAGTTTTTACAAACAACGGAGGCAATTGTAAGCTAAGGTCCGAAGATTCTGGAAATGAATCTAACAAATTCGATGAAGCAAGGTTTGAAGAAAGGAATCTTAACCATCTTTTTTTACGAGCGGGAGAATGAAAAAAGGCATCTTTGATATTAGAAGTTACGGATGTGAGAAGCTTAAAGTTGTCGAAATGTACCCAGCAATCCCCAACTAAACTTAAAATATGACAATTGTGTTTAAGTTGAGGCATTAAGTGAACTAATACATCCGAATAAGACCTTTTCATATACGCGGCATTATCACTAATAAATAAAACAATATTAGAAAAAGGGATTTCATAAAAATTTAAAGCTGACAATATTAGTTGTGAAATTGTAGAATGATTGACACTATCTAGATATTCCGTTTTAACCAACTTAGTTTGATCGTGGAAGCTAAATAAAACATTAACAACACTACGTCCACAAGTATCAGTCGTTTCATCAATAGTAATTGAAATAAGTTGACTAATTAAAATATTTTTTAATTCGTCTACTTCACTTTGGAAAATTTGTGGAAGATAATGTTCGCGCATTTGATTTGCGCCGACGATCTTATCACCTACAGTATAATTAAAATTTAATATTTAATAATATATGTGTTATCAAGATTAAAATTTAATATTTAATAATATATGTGTTATCAAGAAGCAGCATGCACAACTCTCCAGCATAGCGGGCTTTCGTTGTGATTGGCTAATTTTTTGTAGATCATTTTATAACGTGATGTGCAATTCGTCCAATCA